GGCACATAACAACAACAACAACATAATAATAATTAAAATCTGATCGACTGAACAAATATTATCTGGAGATTAATGTGTTGACAAAAAGGGAATCATCTGTACAAAATGGAGCTCAAAGTACAAGAATGTCTTGATGTTTATCGGCATGAACAAAGGGTGAGAGAGACAGAAACTGTCCATCTGGTCTTTAATCTATGCTTGGTCACCACAAAAATAGACTTAGCTATGGTGCAGGGATAGGGTCCCTTAATGGTTTCCCAGGTACCTGATATCTGAAAAAACTGCTAAGGCAGAAGGATACTAGAAAGGGAAAAAAATTCAATGAATATTTTCAAACTGGCCTTATGATTTATATTTCAGTTTTATTTTTAAGCCTAATTTGTCAGCCTCAGCTCTGGATTTATTAAGAAAACTGAGTTTCCAGCCCTATAAAACTGAGCATAAAGGCCCTAGAACATGGTGATCAAACTGCGAGGTTCAATGTGAGTCAATATCCCCAGACCATCTTTACCTCATTACATTCTAAAAGCATCAGATATCATATACATTTACTCTACGCCACCCTTTCCCTCTCACACCTCCTAAACTTACACATATACACATACTCATTCTCCTTTTCATATCCAAGAAAGAAAAGGCCATAAACAGTTAACTTGAGGGTTCACCTTAAAATAAAATTAAAAACAATATGCCCATCCAGCACTAGTAGCAAAGTTTAACAAGACACAAAATAACAAATGCTGGTGAGGATGTGGAGAGATTCGGATGCTCATACACTGGTGGTGGGATTGTGAAATGATACAACCACTATGGAAAGAAGTATGGCGACTCCTTAAAATTGGAAATAGAAATACCATTTGACCCAGCCATTCCATTACTAGGTATATATCCTAAAGAAGTGAGAACCGTGACAAGAACAGCCATATGCACACCCATGTTCATCACAGCACTATTTACAACAGCCAAAAGATAGAAACAACCTAGGTGTCCACCAACAGAAGAATGGATAACCAAACTTTGGTATATATACACACAATGGAATACTATGCAACCCTAAAGAATAACCTAGAATTTACAAAATACCACATAAGATGGATGAACCTGGAGGACACTATGCTGAGTGAAATAAGTCGATCACATAAGGACAAATATTGTATTAGTCCGTTATTGTAAAAATCAAGGAAAGGTTTATCTATGGAAGGAAATTTTCTTTGTTGATTGCCAGGGGTGGGAGGGAAGCAAACACTGTTAGATAGGTAGAGGTAAGTATTGATTTAGGTGAAGAGAAAGGCAATGTACCAAATATGAGTGATCAACACGGTGGAATTGAGGAAGAGGAAGACATAGAGAGGTACATGGGAGGTACAGACAACAAAGATGAACCCTTTTGCACATACAGTACTGCATTGTCAGTGAAGGCTACATGGTTATATGGGTGGATAGATGGGTGGACAGGCTGAATATTAGGTATGTCTATGCATGGGGGGGAGAGCTCTAGTAGCATAGTGCCTAAAGCACTTGACTGCTAACCAGGAGGCTGGCGGCTCAAACCCACCAGCCATTCCTCGTAAGGAAGGTTGGGCAATCTACTTCTAGAGTGATACTGCCTCGGAAACCCAAGGAGGGGTCGCTATGAGTCGGGTCCAACTCAACGGCACATAACAATAACAACATGCATGGGGGAGTGTACCCAAGACCATGTATAGGGTTGACAGACAATGGTCCTATAAGTGTATTTGTATGATCTGAATTCCCAGGTGTATAGTACAGCTGACAAGGGACAAGTTTGAACTAGATGGTGCCCAGCTACCAATGTCAACCACTTGGAAAGGGATGTATGTAGGAGACCCTGGATAGAGAGGGAGAACAATATGGAACAAAACTCAAAAGCATTTGGAAAAAAGATAAAAGGGGGGACCACGTTCGCTGGTCTGATAGAGCCTGGTGGAACCACTGAGACTATGGCCCCTAGCTACCATTCAGGTCTAGAATGGAACCCACACCTGTGGCTTCCAGCCAAACAAAAGACAAGCATATGAGTTGAACATTTACCTGAGGTAAATACACTCCTTGGAGAGAACAAGCATGGGAGAAAGAAGGGCTGTTTATGCACAGGGAGACAACTCAGGGGACAGGGGTGCATGGAGGGATGGACACAGGGAAGAGGTAACTATCGGGAGGAAGTGGGAGGGGAGCTGTTGCATTGTGGTGAATTGGGGTCAATGTCATGAGACAAAGTGTATGTGAACTGCTGTATGGAAAGTGAATTTGCTCTGTAAATCTTCACCCAAATCACAATTTAAAAAAAAAAAAAATCTGCCAAAAGACAGAATTTTCATTGCAATATATTTTTCACCAATATTTACAGAATACAGAGAAAACATGAACTGTTTCCATGGTTGAATTTTTTTTTTAAATATATTTTACCAAAATATAATTTATGTATAGTGAAATACATAAAACTAAAGTGACATGGGTCAATGTCCATGGTTGAATTTTATACATATACAAGAATAAAGACCAAAATATATGTTCAGTATATTGCTCTTATATTGAATGTAAGAAAAACAAAGCACTCTCTTATTATACCATCTCTTCCCTTCATTTTCCCTAAGCCCACTGCTCTATAGCCACCATAGCTGGGAAACAAGATCTCAACCTTCTCGATGTATCTGTAACATAGTTGTTTCCTACCAGGACTATTTGTGGGCAGGCTGTGAAACTGGTCACATATTTAAGTACAGGAGAAAGAAAGTACAGAACACAGGAAACAAACAGAATTTTACAGATTCTCCATCAAGCAACAGACCAACCAAGTAATCCAAGACCTCAAATCAGATTACATAGGTAACTACAAATGAACTTCCTATATCATCTCTCATCAAACAACTTTCTTGTTTAAATCATCCCCAGAATTACTATTAATAAAATGCTCCTCAAATACAGGAAAGACGGTAGGGGCAGTAATTAGCAAGACAACATACCACATCCAAGGGGGCATAGTCAATGTCCTCCAGAAGGATCCAGTGGCCCTTGGTGGCTGCCTGTGTCAGAGTGCCAGGCTGCCACACAAACTCTCCTGGGACATCTGTGCAGCGATACATCCCCAACAGCATCTGTAGAAAGAGGAAAACATAGTTATGTAAACCACCCACCTGAGGTGCCAATGCTACATCCTTTGATTAATTCTGTTAATTTTCCACAGGGATATAAGCATGCACTTAAGGATTACACGGCTTACCCCATCAGTTACAAACAAAACAAAACTTAAATACAAATATGTACAAGCATGCCAACCCACTAAAACTTGTCATTTCTTAATTACCTTACTGTCAGTCTGATCTCCAAGCTGAACTTTGAGAAGATGAGGGGGCTTCCTTCTACCTGTCATTCCAGCTAAATGTTCAACTAAGGAAGTTTTGCCACATCCTATTGGTCCTTCCAACAACACCGCATTATGAGATGCCACTGCCATAGCCAAGGTCTGAAGATTTCTGCAGACTGACTCAACCAGCACGTAAGACTTAAGGGCCAGCTCCTGTTCACGTGAAGAACTCCTATTACTAGCCTGAGGAGGCAAGTGGTAAATAAAAAAACATGTCAAAAAGAGTCTCTCCCTCAAAGGACACAACTTTTAAGGCAATGTTCCCACTGACCTTACATAAATGCCTGTCAATAAAACAGTAGTAGCAGAAAACTGAAGACACAAAACCTATTACAAAGCAGGTATGGTACTCAAGGTAAATACCAGATTTTTCTTTTCCCCCTTTCCTTTCTGTTTTTTGGAAGAGGGCAGGATTTATTAACAAATGTAAGAAAATCTCCTCAAAGTTTAAGAAAGGGAGTCATAGTCAGATGTTTAAGTTTCTCTACCCCTCCTTATATTCTAGGATTGCACATAAGATCAAGAATGCACACAATACACTTGTAAGACAATCAAAAATAGACTGAGATGATATTTTACATCATAAGATTGTTAAAATTTTTTTAGGCATAAGTGTATTGGGATCATGTTTTTGAAAACCCTTTAGACTTTTCTCTAAATTGATTACTAACTTTTAAGGGTTAGTAACTTCTCAAACATGGCTAGTCTTCTGAAGATACATAAGACAGATTCAGGGCTGGAAGCCCCTGAATTTTCCTCAGGGCTTTCTAATAAGCAGGCTGGGCCACAGGGCCACTGTGCACTCCTGCCCCAGTATCCCCAATTGCCCAATACCAGGCCCATTCCAGACCAATTTTTTCCCTACGTTAAAATTCTAATGCCCCACGCCTAATCTACGGCAGGATAGTGGTTACAGGGTTTTGTGTAAAGGGGGAGGCTAGTGACTAGAAAGGAACACAAGGAATTTTTGAGGTACTGGTTATATAGATTATTCAGTTTATGAAAAATTATTGAGCTCTGTACTTATGACATATGCACATCTAACTGTATATTATACTGTATATTATACAAAAATTTAAAAAATAATAATATAAACACATATACATACATATATTTTGTAATGTAATTTTGTCCATCCAGAGTCAAGTGCTTGTTTCAAGAAGAAAACTGAGTAGATCAGACAAAGTGACTACTGACTAAAGACTGCTAGGGAAAACCAGACTGGCTCCCAGATTCTTGACCTATAAGCCTGGTTCCAACTATGATCAGAAGCCACATTCTTGGAAAAAAATTTTAATAATCTTATGATATAAAAGGAGCTCTGGTGGCATAGTGCCTAAGGCATGTGACGGCTAACCAGAAGGCTGGCCGTTGAAACCCACCAGCCACTCCTCAGAAGGAAGGTTGCGGAATCTATTTCCGTAGTGATACTGCCTTGGAAACCCAAGGAGGGGTATCATTTCAGTCATATTTTTGATTGTCTTACAATGTATTATTGAGTACATTCTTGATCTTATGTGAAATGCTAGAATATGAGGGGATGAGAAATTTAAAAATCTAACTATGATTCCCCTCTTAAACTCTGAGGAGACTTTCTGTTAAATTTGTTAATAAATTCTTGGAAAGATGTTGATTTCATATGGCAGGGAGGAAAATATTAGCCTCCCATACAATGAGCAAAGAGAATACTCTGAAAGAAACAGGCTGCTAGAAGTGAACATCCCTGGGCCCAGACTCATCTCTGCCAAGAGCAGCCCAAGAGTCTCCAGGAAAACCACTCTTCCTGCTTCACATGACTATGGGATCACAACATGTGTGACCCAACTTCACAGAGCAGTTGTAACAAGCAAACAAGATATATGAAAGAGCTTTGCTGAAGTTAAAGGTATCACACAGCCATCATTAGTGTTTCTAATTTAATATTAAAGAGGTACAAAGGGGATATCAGGGAGGAGGGCACTCAGTAAATTTCTCTTAATCTCTCCCTCAACGCTTCAAAAAATGGAGGCCTAATTAAGCAACTTCGACTTGGTTCACATCTAGTACACAGAGCCCAACCAAGGGAAAGAGCACACTGAGTGTTAGGAAGGGACAAAAGGGCGCCACACCCCTACTGATGCCAACATACCTGCTCTCCAGGGGCCAGGAGCTGCCTAGGCAGCACTACACCACAGACAGTGGTCACCCTGGAGGAGAGGTCTGCTGAAAAAAGGTGTCCCTGTAAGTACTGCAGCTCCTTCTCCTTATGCCAAAGGGAAGCTTCTGGATTAGCCAAAACCAAGGCCTTTTCCAAGTCTTGCAGCTGAGCTTCTTCTAGTAACCTGGGGAAACCAGGATCTCATCAATTACTTTAATAAGCAAGACAGTCACATCAAGTTCTCTAGAAAGGAGCGTGCTTACTTCAACCTGAAATGAATCAATTCCTCACTACTGAAAATCTTCTTAAGGAATGATAACTTGTGTTCTTCATTCATACAGGTGACCAAAGCAAGACAGTTGGCTGTGTACCTGAAGGAAGAAAAAAAAAGTACGGAAATTCAACTGATCTGCAGTTGACTCTAAGGAATAAAGAAAAATGACTAGTCAAATAAACACTAGAAAATGAAATTTTAAAGAATTACTATCATATACAATGAGGAGCTCTGGTGGCACAGTACCCAAGGCATTTGACTGCTAACCAGAAGGCTGGCAGTTCAAACCTACCAGCCACTCCTTGGAAGGAAGATTGGGCAATCTACTTCCATAGAGATATCACCTCAGAAACCCAAGGAGGGGCTGCTAAGAGTTGTATCTGACTCGAGGGAATTGAGTTTGGTTTTGTTTGGTTATCACACACAATTAAGAGTAGAAAATACAAATCAGGCATGATGAACTAACACAATCAAAAGCAAAAAAAGGTAGAATTCCATTCTGGTAAAACTAAGCCTAGGATGACTGCTTCTCATTTTATATCATCTCATTTCCTCTGATGTGACACATTCTTAAGGAAAAGGAGTAAGAAGAACCCAAAAGGCAAAAGAAAAAAAAATGGCTGCCTTTCTCCACACCACCTCTTACCATCCCCATTAAGAATAGCACCGGAAATGCCCCAAAGCTCCATACCAGCGGACCAAGGTGTCATGGCTTCTGAGGAGAGGAACACACACACTCCAGTCCCAGAGTTCCCAGAACACAGACTGCTCTTGCTGCAGAAACTTGTAGGCTGCTTCCATTAGGTCCCGGAGCTTCATCCGCCGGCGCCCATAGCGGACCGGGTTAGCATCTGAACTCTCTAGGAAGAGCCTCTGAAAAACTGGGGATGTGTCCTTGAAATACCTCAGGGCAAACCTTCAGAAAGAAAGAGAGTTAGAGTATTTGCATGTACTGGTGGGAACTTCAAAGTATACATTTCTTCAGAGTTAAGACAAGAGAATATAACAGGGACTACCAAGGGTCTGGGAGCTCTGGTGGCATAACGGCTAAGACATATGACTGATAACCAGAAGTCTGGTGGTTCATACCCACCAGCCACTCCCTGGAAGGAAGGTTGGGCAATCGACTTCTGTAGTGATGTCACCTCAGAAACCCAAGGAGGGGTCGCTGTAAGTCAGACCTGACTCGATGGCAGCGGGTTACCAAGGGTCTAGGAACAAAGGGGGACAAATGCTAAATCCACCTAGTCCTAAGATTGTACCTATTCAAGTTCAGGAGCCAGAACCAAGGCATAAGAATCTAAGAGAACACAAAAACTTAAAAGTAATTACCCACAAAAGCAGAGATACTTATCCCAAGTGTTAACTAGCAAAGACATTCATTTTCAACAAACATTTATTAAACTCTTACTATGAACTAGACACTGTGTTAAGCCCTAGTGATTCAAAACCAAGAAGATACTTTAAGATACTTTCATTAAGAAGCTCACTGTCTAATAAGGAAGACAACCACTTACAGAAACAACAGAGGTGCAACGAAAAAATCCAACTGACCCTGGGGAAGTTAAGAAGACATGCATAGGTTACATCTGAAAAGATAAAGAAGAGATCCTCATCAGAGCATGAAGAAAAAGGACATTCCAGGCAGAGGAAACAAAAAGTTCAATGATAGAGTGAAGGGAAATAGCCTGGTATGCCACAGCAACCACAGTGTATGATGGCTGAAGAACAGGAAGAAGAAGTCAACTGGCAGGAAACACTCTGGGTAACTACCCATGGTAAGACACTGGGGCTTCACTGTACTGTGTTTCCCATACAGATATACAGATGTATTCTTCTATTAGGAACTCCAGGAGACTCCATGAGAAACTCTGAGATAAATTGAGTTAAACAGGCATCTTTATTTATATACTCATTAGATATTTACTGAATATTTGTTATGTGTCAGGCAATGTACAGATATTAGAAATATCTATGAAACTATAAGTCAGGATGCACGGTCATGAATCATATCCAGACCACCACAAAGCTAGGTGGTCAAGCACCAGAACCAATTCTGTAACTCTTTTTTATCTTCAATTATGTATGTTTCCCAATCATGGTCCTCCTCCCCACCCTTCTGGAGCCCCACTCATGATAGTGATGAACCCATCTACCACCAATTTTGTGATGATTTCCTTTGTTTTCAATCATATATAATTAGCCCCATGACAGTCACTCAGTGGACTCCATTCACTTTTCTGTACCAAGTACATGCTGATGATTTCCCTCATCCTGGATGACTGTTTTTGTTTTGTCTTTGTCCTGTCTAAGGCTTAATAAGAAGGTCTCTATTATTTGTTTGGATCTGGGGTCTTTTCTCCCCTAACACATAGTATATCCTTATTATTTCTTCTGTTGCATTCCTTGGCATGGTTGTCTAAAGAAAACCCAGGGACTGAGAAAATGCACAAGCATAGAGTGAAATATGGCAGTCACAGAAGGACAAATATTGTATTCGTTCACTATTTGTAAAAAGTAAAGAAAAGGATTATATATGGAAGGAAATTCTTTGTTGGTTACCAGGGATGGGATGGGAAGGGAGGAAGCACTGCCAGACAGGTAGAAACAAGTACTTATTTGGGTGAAGAGAAAGGTAATATACCAAAAGCAAATGACCAACACAGTAACACTAAGGAAAAGAAGATACAGAGAGGTGCACAAGAGATACAGACAACAAAGATAAGCCCTTTTGGATCTATTTAGGAGATCCTGGACAGAATGGGAGAACAATGCAGAACAAAACTTAAAATCATTTAAAAAAAAAAAAAAAGGACCAGGTTTGCTAGTCTGATAGAGCCTGGTGAAACCCCTGAGACTATGGCCTTTAGCTGCCCTACAGGTCTGGAATTGAACCCACTCCTCTGGCTTCCAGCCAAACAAAAGACAGGCATATGCACATTTACATTAGGGAGACACACTCCTTGGAGAGATCAATCATGGGAGAATAGAAGGGCTGTGTATGCATAGGCAGACAGCTGTGGGGGGAGGAACAGAAGTGCATGGAGGGAGGGAAGGACACAGGGAAGAGGTAACTATGGGGAGGAAGTAGGAAGAGAGCTGTTGCATTGAGGGAAATTGCAGTCAATGTCATGAGACAAAGTGTATGTGAAATGTTGCATGGAAAGAGAATTTGCTCTGTAAATTTTCACCCAAATCATAATATAAATTACAAAAAAAAAGATAAACACTTTTACATATGCAATACTGATAACAAACATTAATTGATGAGTAAACAGGCTGAATGATCAGGTATGTCTAAGAAAAAGGGAATATACCCATGACCACATGTAAGGTTGGTAGATAATATTTCTACATACATATCTGTATGTGCTGTAAGAAAGTCACATATATAATAGAGCTAACAAGGAGCAAAGTTATGTTAACTTTTAAGCCACAGCCAACCACTGCTGAGGGAGCAAGTAGTTGGACTTGAGGGCTCAGGACCATGGTCGCAGGGGATATCAAGCTCAATTGGCATAATATATTACACAAAAACATTGTTCTACATTCTACTTTGGTGAGTAGTGACTGGGGTCTTAAAAGCTTGCAAACAGCCATTTAGATGCAACACTGGGTCTCTCCTTATCCAGAGAAAAGAATGAAAAAAAATAAAGATGCATGGAAACAATCAGTTCAAGAAACCATTGGCCATGCGATCCTCAGCCTATATCACCATGAGACCAAGAGAACTAAATGGTAACTGGCTACCAGTGTCAACCACTAGGAAAGGCATCAGTGCAGGAGATGCTGGATAGAGCAGGAAAATAACATGCAACAAAACTCAAAATCAGGGTTCCGGCAAGATGGCGGACTAGGCAGAAAGACTGTACAGACCCTCTTCAACAAAGAAAACGGAAACCAATTAACACAGACACAGAAGATAATCCTGGACCCTTAAGCCTTGAAGGGAAGGATATAGAAGTGAACCAAACCCCAACTGGCAGAAGAATTTGCGTGAAAATACCAAGAAAGGAGACAGACGGAGCTGCGGTCTGGCAGCGATCCTGATGGCACAGACAGCTTGGAGAGTCCCGAGTGGTGGTAAGACTTAAGAATTAACCTAAAAATCACCTTGCTAGCTAGGGACTGCACGGAGGACTGTGCACGGTGGCTGGGGAACAAATGGAGAAAGTGAAGAGAAAGGTGGGCTGAGCTGTGGACTTTTGCCGGTCTGAAGGGCACCGCCATTTTGTAGGTTTAAAAAGC